TTCCAGGTGTATATATATATAATATAAACTTTCAACCCAATGTGAACTAAACGACAATAATCTGGGGTCTAAAATGTATCGTTAACAAAGAAAAATAAACACCAAGATTAAAACCTGTGGGAGAAGAAAGACCCATAAGTAATGCAGTATTTCAGCCAGTTGTGGTAAATTATTGGGAAAGAAAAACTAAACCATACTTCACTGGAACAGTTCTGGTAAAACTAAAGCATACTTCACTGTAACAGTTCTAGCAAAACTAAACCATACTTCACTGGAACGGTTCTAGTAAAACTAAACCATACTTCATTGAAACGGTTCTCGTAAAACTAAACCATACTTCATTGGAACGGTTCTAGTAAAACTAAACCATACTTCACTGGAACAGTTCTAGGTAATATTTAGTCACAAATACTCTTCAAGATCAAACCATAAATATACAGAACTTAAATTTTCCATACGCTTAAGATCCTTTCATCAGTCTTCTGAAACAGAATTTTAAACAACTGATTACAGTGATTCTAAGTATTTATATATTATAACTAGGTGTTTGAATAAGGAATATCATGTCATTTATGCCATTTTTTAACCACCTAATTTTTCTTTTAATTTGAAATGACAAACATTTTGTGAGATTTACAAATTCATTCCTATAAGATTTCAACATCGCAGAATATTACACAATATAGCAAATGTGATTGTGCTGACTCTGTTAAGCAACTCAAATTGTGGAATTGTACTCTTTCTTATAACTGAGGCAACAGCAAAAAAATAAACTAAAAGGCAATTAAGCTGAAAAAATATACATAAAAAACAGAAAAGTATAGAAATTAGCTTAAAAGATTGACAAGCAGACTACAGTAGCTACAATAACAGTGAGTAAAAAAGTATTTAAAAACAGAGGTAACTAGGTTTTAATAATTTATGTATATGAATAAGTAGAAAAGACTCATAAACAATTAAAGAAATAAACAAGCAGACAAGAAAAACCATACATACAGATAGCGATATTAGATATTAGACAGGAAAACAAGTCGCTAAACTGATAGAAATATAAAGATAAAAATGGGTAGACCATGCTCATGCCTGGCTAAAGAGATCAAGGAAAAATCAAGTAGCTGCTAGACTGACTTAAAGAAAAATATTAATAGGTAGAAAAGTATTCTGCTAGGTTAATAGAAAAATGGATAAAAGTTGCATAGTGGGACTAATACACAGATTTAGAGATAGCCACACAAAGAGAAACATAATGATATAAAATGGCTATAACAAAAACACAATGGTACATGTAATTAGACTCCAAAATAGACAGAGAAAATAACAGGGTATACCAACTGACACAGATTCTACATAAAACTGTAGAAATGGTTTGAGATTAGATTCTTTAACTAGAACAGCAGCTTCACATATTGTAGAACAATGAACTCAATATTGTAAACGTTCTCTTATTACTAAATAATGTAACTACATTTGCTGCCAGCAAATGATATCTTCCCAGTACCTCATTGGTAAGTCTGAGTGCTTACAATGCTAAAAATCAGGTTTTGATATCAATGGTTGTCGGAGCATAGACAGTCCATGGTGCAGCTTTATGTTTAATAACAAACAAACACAATTCAAATGATAAGACTGTTTTTTTTTTTACATTTAAACATGTAAAAATTTAAAGACTTGATCTTAACATTAAAGGTACCAAAAATCATCTAAATTGCAGTAGAAATCTAAATAAACTAGAACTTGGAAATTTATCATGCAGTTGTATTACCTAACAATACATGTTCTAAAAATGTATGAAAATATAATAAACTGACTTTTTAAAGTAATAATACAAACTACACTAATATTGTTGTTGTGAGTGAATATGAGATTTAGGAATTATGCTTACCATTTCACCATCATACAAGATGCTTTCAATATCTAGTAAACCACCTAACAAACAGAAAGGATATGTAGTTAACAGACCTCAAAAAAGGTCATCTGGTTACTGTTTTTATAAATATACAACAATAAAATAACTGCATATCAGTGTGTTATGTTCCAATGTTTGAACTAAATGCATAAAAAGTAGTAATTTGAAAATAATTTATAACAGTTTTAGACAATTTGTCATCAACCTCGTCATTATACTCAAATATAAGATGATCACATTCTTCAACTTCAGAGTAAGAAAATGTAATACTTCTAGGTGAATGAACTATGGAAACATATACAAGAATGCACCAATGTGACTTAACTTTTATGCTTGCTAATGTAGTCACATTCATAGAAAAATCTTCCTTTTAAAAAAGGAGTAAAGGTAAACCAATATACCCTTAGAAAAAGATTAAACAAAACAGGATGCAGCCACATAGGAAAATCACTATAAAGAGTAAGTTAAAAACTGTTTACCTTCATGGAGATTTTAGAAAGAATACATTTTAAATTAAAACTAGTACCCTGTAGTGTAGATGGTTTCTTTGTCACCTTTATGCTTAAAGGAATAATGTCCTGATTAATACTTTGTTAATAAATCTATTTCTCCATCTATTCATTTATATTTTAACTCTGAGCTTAAGTATCTGCTTAAATATAAGCCTTTGTAATCACTGAATAACTAATTATTACAGAAAGAATTATGGTTGTTTTTTAGTTTCTAAACAAAAAACTGATAGTATAACATGGCTTTCTCAAGATATTAATAGGATGGAAAATTTATTGGCTGAAGGTAATGTCTAAAACACTTCACTGTACATGTGTGCCCTTCTCAGAGAATGGCAGATAAATAGATAATCAGATCCTGCTACCTAATAACTAGATTCTAAGATTTCAGCTGGTGTAAAAAGTAATGAGATAAAAAGGCTAAACCAGTTATATGATAAATGTTAACATATTCTTAAATAAAAAATGTATTTCCAATAATACTTATCTTCTCTCACACTACAGCTATGACTCGATTGCTAGGGCTTCTTTACCTTTGCCCATCTAAGCATTGGTCTGATTTTCTATCACTTGTTCCAGTAGTTTATTCCCCACTTAAGTGCCCTTGGCAACATTTGTCTTTTGACACTCTCCACCTACTTCAATGCACCCTCTATCGTGTTTCTGTATATAAGCACCTCCTTTATGATAACATTGTCACTTTTTCAAGACTGTCCCAATCTGCAGTCTCTAACACTGGCTCTTAGTGGGAAGGAAGGGCAGGAGAGTATGAACGGAGCTATTATTGGAAAAACATTTTTGATTTAAGAAAATGCTAGCTTCCAAAACAAACTTACCTCCTCTCACACTATAGCTAGAATCCCACATTGATATGGTTGGGCCAGTGATGGCATTATCCACATAGAATAGTCTGCATAGATCGTGGTCATGCCAACAGAAGTCTAGCACCTTAGAGGAGGAACAGCACTACATCCAGAACAGGTATGCTCTTCACCTGGAACTTAAAAATGCAGTGTGGGTGGAAGTTGATGTGATCCCTCATCACCACTGGCCAGGCCCCAACTAGGTAACCGATGTCCCATTGCTCAGGGTTGGAATTATAGGGCCATGTCCCTTAAATCCCACATTGGTGGCTAGGGCATTTAGACCACAATAGATATATTTGTGAGTTGATCCCAACCTGTAGCTATAGAGTGATGTATTACGAGCCACTGAAATCATGACAAGAAGGTAAGCAACACTGAAATGAACAAACCCTCTTCTCAACCTGAAAAATTCTGAAAGACAACATTCCAAACTTGGAATGATTGGATCCTGTACGCCATACTCAACCTGAGGAAACAGAACTCATCCAGTCTGGAATTGTGAACACCCATATATATTTCCACAATGCTCTGGAAACAGTGCAATAGGTAAACCAAATTTCTTCAATTTTTCAAAGCAAACTGACCCCAATTTATTCAATCCAATGATCGGCAGGGACAGGCAGGATACCCTTATGCTTTACTCATGATAGTCCATGAGTGGCAGTCCAGCATAATACAGTAATACCACCCAGTCTGCCTCTAGGTGGTATTATGGAACACCTCATTTCTAAAGAGTCTGTTGCAACCTAGATAAAATATACTGTGTTAACGGTTGCTTGTGCAGATTTGGTTTGGTAAAAGCACACATGACTGGGCAACACTCGCCACAGAGTGGGATCCTGTGAAAAAGAGGTAAGGGACTCTGGAAAGGAAAGAAGAGATGAGATGAGTAATGAAAATATTCACCCCTCTGTATAATATAGCAGCTAGCTACAGGAGGTAGTCGAAAACCCTCAGAGGAATATACTGCCAGGTCATGCAAATAACGTGAGATAAAAGTATTGAGGGAGATTCACATACCAGCCTGCACAGTGTCCTCCAGCAGGTAATTCAACCAGGCTGCTAATGACATAGAAATGTGACGAATCTGATGAGACACGACTCGCAGAAGTCTCCTTACCTCCAAATAGAGCCCAGAATAAGCAATACTGATCAATTTTCATACCCACCCTATCAAAGTAACTGGGGATAAATCCTGGGAAACTGAAGGATCACAATGAATAAAAATCATTATCCAGCACCCCTAAAAGCTTTAGTGAGGGCCACATAACACTTCAAGGCTCTCACCAGACATAACAAACAATTGGGATCCAATTAGTCATAGAATTGAGAAAGAGTGGTAAGATAAATCAGTGAAAAGGATTTATCTCCTTCCCTATTTGCCAGTGTCTCAGGTATGAATGACCTGTCTGGGCATAGAAGGATGTAGATAGAATGATAAAGTGTCCAGTGCAAATGTAGTGCAAATAACTCTGACTGGCGACATCCGCAGACTTGGCAGCAACAAAAAATACTTTAAGGGAAAGATGATGCATAGTAGATGATGCTAAGGGCTCAAATAGATGTTAAGAGAGAGCATTTAACACCACCTTTATATCTCAGTTAGGTAATTGAAATGGTCGTTTGGGATGAAGGGCCTGAAGCAACTTGAAAAGGCCGGAGAGCACTGGGGACTCAACGATTTACTGTCTCTCCAAGTATCCAAAGGTAGCTGATAAGGCTGCTTGATACAAGGCAATTGTTGGAAGATGCAAAACCCTTGTCAAAGAGTCAGGTCACAAAATGAGCTACGATTGGAATATCTGGATGAAGTGGGTTCAACCTCCTCACAATATACCATTGTCAATATGTGTACCATTTTCATTGATAAATGTCATTTGTGAGATGACACAGAGACTGAGACAGGTACATGGAAACCTTAGATGTTAAACCCCAACACTGTGCGAAGGACCACATAAACTCCACACATGAAGCTTGAGCTTCAGTATGGATGGGTGTAAAATGTCACATCATTGCTGCCTCAACAGAGATGACCAAATAGGAAGTGGAAGAGTTGGAAACTGCTGAAAGTAATGTAGAAGCAGAAACCAGGCTTGAACCGGCCAATCCAGTGCTACCAACAGAATGTGACCAGGAGTTGAACGAATCACAGCTAGCACTCTGGGTGGCAGATGAATAAGTAGGTAGGCATACAGGTGCAATCCAGTCCATTCCTGACTGAATGCATCTGTTGCCAATGCCCAAGGGTGAGGTACTAGAAATCAAAATTCTGGTAGTGGAGTGTTCCAATGAGTGGCAAACATATCGATCATTGGTGTCCTAAACCAAAAGCAAATCTAACAGAAAACCCCTCGATGAAGCACCCATTCAGTTATGAGAATCTGGTAAGGTCAAGACAATTAATCTACCACCAAATTCATCACCCCTGAACATAGCCATCTAGTAGGATGATATGATGGAAGTGGGCCCAATTTAGAAGATCCGAGGTTCAAAAACAAAGAGACCTGGACTGTATGCTCTCTTGACAGGAAATGTAAGACACCACCATAGAATTGTTGGAGTTTGAAGCATGATGACTTTGCCCCTCAATAATTTCAGACCTTGAGACATCACACTTTAAACAGCAAGGAGTTATAAAACACTGATGTGGAGGGAAGCCTCCATAAACCATGAAATTCCTGACCATTAAGATATGCACCCCATCCCTGAATTGAAATGATGGAGCACTGGACGAGGAGACAGCAGAGGAACAGTAATCATAGTACTGTTCTGATCTAACCACCACTCGAGATCAAAGATGTTGAATCCGAATAAGAAAACTGGGAAATCCAGTGGATCACTGTTCAAGATCCACTGATCACGTAGAGACCACTTAAGGAATCTCATGCATACTCATCTCAAAGGAATGAGGAATTCAAGTGATGTCTACATCCCTAAAAGATAAACCATGGGAGTAGGAGGCATGAGAAAGAGTCACACTGTCTGTACCATTGCATAGCCAGATGGGAGTTGGCTGTGCCCGACTGAGATACGTGTTGAAAAAGACACCCAGATTGAAAATATATTGTGTTGAAGTGAAAATAGATGTCTCAGCTCTGATAAGAAATCCTCCCTTGGTTGCTTCAGAAAACAGTATCTGGGTGTGACCTACCTCCAATTGACAAGATGATGCCAACAGTAGCCAGATGTCCATGGAATGGTGTGAGCCCAGGCCCAATGAATGGGGGTGATGAGAAAATATTTGTATGATTTGGCAAAGCACATATGGAACCAATGCTAGTTTGAAGAGCAGAGTTCTGAATTGCAGCACCAGATCCTTGTGCACAAAACGCAGATAGTGGTGTGACGAATCCACTAAGGAAACGTGCAGATAGGTGTTGAGAACATCGAACTTGGTCATTCATAGTCCTGGTGAAAAATATTAACATAGAGTGAGAAATGACTCCATCATGAACTTTGGAGGCTCCAAGAATTGATTTAGACAAGAAAGATCGATGACCAGATGCCAATCTACAATCTTATTAGGCACAACAAACAGATGAGAATAGAACCCAGGAACAAATGGAATGACTCTCTCCACTGACCCCTTGACCAACAAATCCCTGATAGCTGTGGAACAAAGTTCCAAAATCTGAGGATCTGTGG